ATATAAACCTGTACCAAACATATAATCTGTAAAACTGGTTAAGATATTTTGAAAAACAAAAAAAGTTGTTCATACTAAATGTTTTTTTTTAACAGATTGTTCCTATGGCAGCTATATGATATAGATGAGCAATATGGCCAATTTTTTGTGGATATACTTAAACCATTTTTTTTAGTTTTTTGATGAAAGTTTCTAAGCGATAGCACATCTAGAAGTAATTATGGCCGCAGCTCCATACAAGCCGAACCACTGGGCACAGGTCGCTCTCAGAATCGTAGTAGTACTCCCATCAATGATAAAAAAAAATTCGGTCCTTTTAAAAGCGTATCGTTAAGACACACCATCGACCTATGCTACGGCCCAGATCAAATGTTTCTTTCTTTTGTTGGGATTTTCCATTGCAAAGACAGGCAGATACCAAGAACTTTGATTATGAGCCAGCTCTCGTTTTTGCACTTTTTGAATGTAACCCTTCTTCTCGTAGTCCGCATGGTGTCACTCAAAAGCTCATTCAACTCCGGATCCTTAAGGGGTTATATACAGTTGTGATAGTCGAAAAAATCGATTTTTTTTTTATTGCATATTCTTAAAGTACATATATGTAGTATGTTGAGAATACTCTCACAAAAATTCATAACGATCGGAGCATTAGAACCGAAGTTGTAGCTATTTATAGCGCACTACCTGCACATCGGCCGGAACAAACTTGAAACTTTAAACGCGATTATCTCAGAATCTTGTTTTTTCGAAATTACCTTTGCGGTGGACACGATTACTAAAAAACTATTAATCCGATCAACACCAAATTTTGACCACTTATTTATTATAATAAAAACTAGTCCGTGAACGAAGGATTTTCAATTTTTTTGAAGCATAAAAACCGAAAATTTTACCCCTTAAAAAGAACATTTTTTGTTAAAATCGTCGCCATCAAAATTTTTACAAATCCGTCGTTCACGGACAAGGCAATTCACTATATTATCGAAATTTTTTGAATTTTAGATTTCTGATGAACCGTTCTCGGGATATGATGTCCACCGCAAGTCACTATCGGAAAAAGAGGGTATTTGAATTCGGCCATAACTTTTTTATTAGTTAATATTTTTTTATAAAAACAATTTTAATAAGTACCCAGAAAGATGTACTAAACAACGCCGGCAAAACATTTTAAATAAATATTCTTTATGGTGTCAAAAAAAAATCGACAAAACTCCTTTTTTTTTGCGCGGTACAACTGTATATAACCCCGTAAGCTTTTTTGACTCAAAACATTTGAGACGTCCAAGAGCTATGGGATAGGAATCAGACAGTTCAACTTTCTAGTATCCCCACAATAATCCAGTTTCCCAGCGACTGTCATTGGAGATGTACTTCGTACTTTGGTTCATAGCTTTCAGCGACTGTTCATCTTGCTTCGATCGCAGTGGTTTTGCAGAGACGCTCACACCAATAGCCACTAACGAAAAATGCGCCTTCATAGCCTCGTCAAGAGCTCGAGATCACTGGCAGATATGCAGCACACGTGGCGGCATGGCTTCTTCAAGTCCATATCGGGCATAAACAGACCATCCCAATTGGCAACGAACCGCAAAAAGATCGTCATTATCAGCTTCTTGTACCTCCAGTGGCACACAGATCTTAATGTGATCCAGTCCAATGATCATTTGGGCCTTACTCCAGGTGGCAACCACACAAGTGGAAATCCGGGAGATCTCGGGGCTAGGGCATGGAGTTTGGAGACCCTAAAAAACATTCCCCCAAGCACTGACGCTGCGGTGGCTGACTTGGCCGCCACGGAAGTTAATACGCGAAGCCAAGATAAAGAGAAGAACGACGACCCCATGGCCTTCAAGAGGAGCAGCATGGTCTTAAGATACCCGATCCTCCCAGCGAGCAAGGCTCTGGAACCGGTAGCAGGTGGAAACGCGGATTCCCTAACTCCCAAAAGAACACGGGACGCCGCCAGCCCAGCAGGCTCTCAGCGCGACACGCCTCCCCAAAGATGCAGAGAATATTTGTGTTTTAAATACATCGCTGAGACGGGCAAGATCCTGGATGGTGTCCTCGACGACATCAACAATAAGCAGGTCCGGCACATAACCTTGGTCGCTCAACTCCGCTCGGAAACCCGAAGAGACGGAACGACCCGAACCAGCAGTAGTATGCCACAAATGCTCTCATGGCGAGAACAACTCAGAGAGCACCCAGTGATGGGACGCAGTGCAGCAGACTCCCAAGGTCTGGAGTAGGGACGGCGCAACGCAGACGGGGCCGCAGCGAGTCCCGTCCACCATTGAAAAACCGCAACCAAGAGAGGCCAGCGCGAGCGCCCCCACGTTGGCTGAAGCAGCTAGGCAGGAAAAACCCAGAATCCAAGGGAAAACGCCTGGAGAACTTACACAAGAAAAAGCGGCGAAAGAAAAAAGAGGCTCCTCCTCGCTCCCGCCCGGACGCAGTCATCATAGCCGCGAAAGGGAAAACCTATAGTGAAATCCTGGCCATGTTTACCAGAAGGGTAAGGTAGGCTCTCAGGCCTGGGTAACTGCGTTAAAATGTTTAGACGCACCACAAACGGCAACCTTTTATTAGAGATGGCAAAGGAAAGCGTTGAGAGCGCAGAGTCAATGCGAACGAGCATAGCGCAGGTGCTTGGCGACTCGGCGGAGCTATCGGTACTCGAGATCCGAGAGTTGGAGCCATTGTCCATGGAGTATTTCCATTTGCTGTGTTCATTTGCTGTGCAGAAAACTGTATAGAACCATTTGGTTGCAAGATGTCTTGATTTCCGTGGTTCACACTGATCGGCGTGCTTCAAGCGGTTTCGATTCGACCCCATCAGTCGAGCTTCCATCGTAGAAGCCTGCGAATGGTTCTATAAAGCTAAAATCTGAGCTTCCAACAGAACCGTCCTCAATGCCCATGGCTTGAGCGCACTCCCGCGATCTATTACGTCATATATGACGTCACTCTCCACAGGCAAGAGAATCGCAACCCTTCTGCGATTCACTGGCTACAAACGTCCGAATCTGGATTCCGATTGGCGCTATCCTGGCAAAGATGGCAAAGTATTTCACAATGTTGGGACGCCCCTGGGTTCCGGGTTTCACCACATACCGGGTACGATGGCGTGGATTTGTTATTTTTTCTCGCGAGCTCCGACAAAGTTTTCCTATGGCTAATGAAGTACAAATTTTATGCATAAAATCAAAGCAAGAAGCCTTCTTGCCCGAAAATATGCATAAAGTATCGTGCAGTTTGTAGATTAAATTAGCTGGTATTCTAAACAAGGAGTTTTCCCTTAAGCTTTAACTAATAGATTCTGAGATGCAACCACAAAATTATTATTCATAAATCAAGTATTTTACTTTTATATAAAAAAGTTATGCAAGAATGAAGTAACATTTAACATTTTCAATTTTCATAAACGCATAGTATTTTAAAATAGTAATTTTCTTTTTTTTTCGTTAATGGCCTTATGATATAGTAATGCAGTTTTCATTCATTAGCCATTTCATTAGAGCCTTAAAAGAGACAACTATATATTCCGACTACGGTCACACTGTTCAAAAAAGATAAACAATAAGAAATGCCGCAATTGGCAGCGAATGACCATGAACTTCTGAATTCCTCGTCGAAGTATTCACGGAACAATGTATGCGGAAACCATTAAATTTATGTTTTTACCCTCTAATGGAAACAAATCTTATATTTATTAACAAAAAAATAAATTTAAATTAATTTTGAAACGCAGGAACCACGCCACCGAAAACATATAATTTTTTCTAATTTGTGATATGAAATTCTCATTGCGAGACCATTATGAGTTTCGACCTCTAATGAACTGGCTAATATATTTTTCAATTACAATTTTCATCATTAGAGCAGTATTTTGCTATCGTTCCAAAATTGGTATCTAGAATATTTTATGGAGATCTATCGATTTTTGCGGCTAATGCATTCGCCAATACATTAAAACTTGCATTTTAAGTGTCATATATGTATGTAGTTGTTGTTTTTCACTCTTATATACATGCTCAAATATGTAGAGTTAAAAAAACGTTAACCCAATAGTACCCACACTATGTATAAGTTTGGCGAGACCTAATATTTAAGGGTCCATTCTGGTTAGTTGGGCAAAAAATAGACAATTTTCTGGAATTTTTTGTGGACAAAGGAAAAGACACAGAAAGTTTAAACTTTTCATATATATTTCTCATAGTTTAGAGATGATTTAGCAAAAATTTCAAAAAGTTTAAAGCATATCTTGAAGCAGGACACTGGGCGACGTAGGCCAATGCTCAAAAAATAAAACCGCTCCGGAGAGTCTCCTGCAGGACGTAAAAATCGACAGAAACAAAAAATTCAATAATAATAATAATAAAATTCAATTATTGATTTGTATGAATGTGGTTATGGAATAGTCTACTTTTATCAAACTTCAATATAAAATAACAAAATGGCGGCTCTTCAAAAAAATTTTTCCGTTTTTGAAAAAATTTTCTTCACTTCTTTGTTGATTAAAAATCTAATGTATATAATATCTTTGTAATTGTAGCCTATTCCATGGACACTTCAATTACGCGTATTTAACAAAAAAACAAAAATGATTAAGATTCGTTAAAAATTAACTAACGGTCGCCAGCTCGACAAATATAGTTTTCCAGAAGTTTATGTATGCTCTGTAGCTGCTTTGAGTCAGCCGGCTCTGAGGCTCATATCTTTTAAACTATTACGTATTTCGATTTGCCCTTTTAGTATTATATTTTAGACACTTAAAGCTATCGACAAAAAAAAAATGTTTAACTAACCAGAATGGACCCTTAAGAATGCATTAAATAAATGCGATATGTTAGCCAACATTTGAGAAATAACTTAACAAAGTAGGACGATACTAATGTCCTTATTAGTTTTATCAGTTGTATTGTATAAATCCATATATTTAAAATTATTTTTTTTGTATTTTAATTTTAATTTAAATTTTATATTATAATTTGATTTACCTGCTTCCTAGAGTTTCCTGCTGTTAACTGAGAAAGGGCCAAATTATTATTAGAGATAAAATGTGCTCTAACATCAATGAACAGTTGAGAAGCTCTTTTATTTAAAACTCGTTCTTCAAATTGTTCATCTGTTTCATTTTCCATTTGTTCATCACTTTGATTCTGTAAATAAAAAAATACATAATCTACATTATGGAAAGCAACGAGATAAATAAATAAATAACAATATAATATACAGCTGTGTTCACTGAAATAGCAGTGCCCACGACCTGCACGTTTAAGATTGGAAAATACTGTTACAAACGCTATTTTCATAAAATTTTTTTTCAAGGCTTGGTGTATTTAATCATTAACAATACCACAATCATTTAATTTAGGTAACATAAACCCTTTAGAAGATATAGCTAATAACAACAAAAAAGGTCTATATTATGCCGTTCATTGAAATAGCATAAATTCATAAATTTATAAATATCATATAAGAAACCTATTTCTTCTTAAATTCTAATTGACTATGATCTAATATTTTGTTAAATAGCCTTTAGAAGCTATCACAGCCTCATACCTGGGTGGCATGGAGTCCACCAACGCTTGAAAGGATTATGGTCTCATTCCTCCTGCACAAATCGCCAAAGCTGCGGCTTAGAAGTCGGAAACTTCTTTAATACGTAGCCCTTGATGTCCCCTCTAAGTTTTCGATCGGGACTGTGCAGGCCATGGCATTGCATCCACTTTTTCATTAAGAACCCACTCCTTGGCCACCTTGATGGTATGATTAGGGTCACTGTCCTGCTGAAATGTCCAAATTAATGGCATATTTTCCTCAGGATACGGCTGCAAGATAGTTTTTAATATTTAGACATAAACATAATGGTCTTTGATCCCGCAGATCATATATACGGAACCTACAACGTTGTATGAAAAGTATACCCATACCATGACTTTTAGGCCACCATGTTTTACTGTCTTCAGCGTATGGTTTGGGGGGTACTATGTATTTGGAGGTCGACGGACATATTGTCTTGTCCTATTCCACCAAATAAAACCAGTTTGGAGTCATTTGTCCAAAGGATATTACGCCATTTGAATAGTGTCAGTTCAAGTGGCTATTGGCGAACTCCAATCTGGCCTTGATATGCCTTTAACCAAGCAGTGACATTTTCCATGGACTTCGAGAATCTAAAATTTATTCAATAAGTCCCCGGCGAATGGTCCCATGACTGATTCCCATGCCAATTCCTGCTCATATATCCCTAGAGGATGCAAAAGGACGAGCTTTGCTGAAGCGAAGTGCGCGTCGTGCCTGTACAATTGTGGTTTTGCGAATCGTACCTCGGTTTTTTTGGGTTCGGTTCATATTTTATGACTTATAAACTATTTTAAAATAACAATTTGAAAGATTTGGAGTCTCTTTACATGTTTTGCCCTTCTTTCTAGGCTAAGTTATCTGATACCTTTCTCTCATGGAGCAGTGAGGTCCTGCGCCCATTAAAATAATTTTTTTTGCGTTGTAAAGGTGTATTATATTATAAACTATAATAACGACCGTAATTAAACTCATTTTTTACAAAATTAAAAGAAATTTCGGCACGTTTTGCGAAAGAAAATTAAAAACTGCTATTTCAATGATCGGCCAAAACGAGCTGCATATGTGAAAAAATATCAATAAAACATAAAAATAGACCAAATCTAACGGAATTTTTTCACGATTCTTATCTTTATGTTCCATTTTACAAAAACACTGTGCAATAGATCAGCTTGCCAAAAGGAATATGTACAAAAAAAAGGTTTTGAAGTTGTTCCTCTGTCGCACTGCTATTTCATTGAACACAGCTGTATATATAACATATATACAATATAATAAATACCAATAAAAAATGTTAAAATTGTTGGGTTTTTTTTACAATATCTAAAGGAATGAAATAATTTTATATAATGACATAAATTTTATGTTAATTATAGAATTATAGGCTTAATTCTTTTTAATATCCTTATAATATTATTTGTGGATTGCAGCAACAAGCTAATTTCAAAACGAGGTTTGCTTATTGCAATTGGGTCATAAAGAATTGAATTATTTTGACAATATAAAAAGGATAACAATAACACACAAATTATTAGCGCTCTCCTGAAAAATATGATTTTGAAAATCGGTTACACGATAACTCAAAGTCTATCAACCAATCGGTTTGAAAATTGGAACAAACCTTATTTAACTAATTCTACAGGTATGGTATTATATGGAATTTAATTCATTAATCTAACTTTCGCCGTTTCGCCACAACATTTTTTTGAAAACTCTGGCGTTCACAATTTCAGCACCGCCTACCAACCCTAGAACGCAACGTTCAACGATTTTTGGAGTTGCTCAAAGAATTCCGGCGCCTATAGCCGGTATTGCCACTAAAAAATTGATTTTTGTTTCCTGTCTTAATCCTGGTGCTTCTAAGAACGACGTAAAAACCCATTTGAGCAGCCAATTGAATGTTTCTGACACCGAATTTGGTGTCTCCAGGTTCAGTTTTAAGGGGTTATATACAGTTGTGATAGTCGAAAAAATCGATTTTTTTTTTATTGCATATTCTTAAAGTATATACTGTTGAGAATACTCTTACAAAAATTCATAACGATCGCAGCATTAGAACCGAAGCTGTAGCTATTTATAGCGGACGACCAGCACGTCGGCCGGAACAAACTTGAAACTTTAAACGCGATTATCTCAGAACCGTTTTTTTTCGAAGTTACCTTTGTGGTGGACACGATTACTAAAAAAACTATTAATCCGATCAACACCAAATTTTGACCACTTATTTATTATCTCAAAAACTAGTCCGTGAACGAAGGATTTTCAATTTTTTTTGAAAACTTCCTTTTTTAAAAATTTTACCCCTTAAAAAGGACATTTTTTGTTAAAATCGTCGCCAATTTTTTTTAAATCAAAATTTTTAAAAAACCTTCGTTCACGGACGAGATAATTTAATATACTAACGAAATGTTTTTGAATTTTTGATTTCTGATGAACCGTTCTCGGGATATGATGTCCACCGCAAGTCACTATCAGAAAAAGAGGGTATTTGAATTCGGCCATAACTTTTTTATTAGTTAATATTTTTTTATAAAAAAAAATTTAGTAAGTACCCAGAAAGATGTACTAAACAACGCCGGTAAAACATTTTTAATAAATATTTTTTATGTTGTCAAAAAAAATCGACAAAACTTCATATTTTTGCGCGGTACAACTGTATATAACCCCATAAGCAAAGACTTGATATATCTTTGTTTTAAATTGCACTTTCTGACGTAATATCTTTTAAGGCTCTTAATTCTTCAGTATGGCCTGAGCATGTTCACGAATTTGTGAACAAAGGTAATCCTTGTGCTCGCGGGCCTCAAACTCCTTCAACTAGGCCTCCAAAGGTTAGGTTAGGTTAGGTTAGTCCGGACGGCTCTCGAGGGGCCACACATAGGTCAATATGGCCAATAGCTATCCGGGGAAATTCCTGGATGGACCTAGAGACTATTTATGCAGGTTTCGAGATCCTTGAATATCAAGGTGTTTTTCGCAAAGGCAAGGAGTTCGCCTGGCTTCCTCCTGGAGGCATCTTCTAGCGATGCCAGAACTGGAGAGATGCTCCAAGGTTTCGGTTGACTCGGAATCATCACATTTCCGGCATTTGGCGTTGTCGGTAATACCCAGCTTGACTGCATGTGCAGCAGACAGGCAGTGACCTGTAAGAATACCCACTAACATTCTGCAGTCCTTCCGCGGAAGATGCAGCACGTAGTGTGTGAGTTTCTCGTTGTGCTCTTTGCACATGATTTTTGATATTCTGCAGTTTGCGGAATTACTCCTTCACCTGCTTTTTGCGCTTGCGTCAGCCCGTCTCTCTAGCTCGCTTTGGAGCGTTCTTAGGGAGATAGGGACGTTTTCTGCTCTTTCACTCGCAAGTCCTTCCTTTGCAAGTTCGTCCGCGGTTTCGTTACCGTCTATGCTTTGGTGGCTGGGAACCCAGTAGATCCTCACTGACTTAGTCGTGCTCAGGCTATCTAGTGACTCCCTGCTTGCCAGTACATTTTTGGAACTGACCGCTGATGATTGCATGGATCTTATCGCCGCTTGACTGTCTACGAACAATTTAACCGTCTCATGTGGACGGTTTATGCTCTGCGCAAGCTCTGCTGCTTTCCTAATACCGAATACTTCCGCCTGGAATATACTGCAATAGCTTGGTAGCTTATACGACAGTCTCATTTTAGGGTCTGAACAGTATATGCCCGCCCCAACTCCTCCATTCATCTTGGAGCCGTCGGTATATATGTATATTGAGGTGTTGAGCATGGTCCTGGCCTGACTTCCAGTCATTTGGTCCCATGAATACTGTTGTGTTTACATCCGGGCACGTTCTGGGTATCATGTAGTCAGATGTACTGCTCATGTCTCGACCAATTGAACTGTGCCCGAATCCTTGTAGCGACCAGTTCCCTGATGAAACCAGACTAGACATATACGCCGCCGCGTCACGCCGCCGCCGCCGCCGATTTTTGCCTTATTTGACGCACCGCCGCCAAATTATGAAAATAACGACGCGCCGCGGCGCAGCACCGGCGCGGTCTTCGGTGTTATAATTCTTTATAAAATTAAAAAAAAATAAATAAATCATAAAAATTGCAAAATACTCGATATAAATAATCGATTAATCGTTGAGATTGTCTCATCTCCCATCTCCCTATGTCCCATCTCTAGAACAGCTGTTTGGTGTAGTTTACGTTTTAAAGCTGTGTTTTGTATGTGCGTAAATATGCAAAGTATGTTTTAAAATACTAGTGTTAGGAACATATTAATTAAATATTCTCTCAACAAATAGATGGATCAGCCATTGAGTATATACTCAATTAAACATAATCGTAACTCAAATCGAAAAAGCAAAGTTTGGGAGTATTTTGGCGCATTACAATTGGAAAATAAATGCATTGAAGTGGACAAGGTGTTCTGCCGATTATGTTTGGATGTGCAGCAAAAAGACGACGAAAAAACAATCTTTTCATGGTAATTATTAAGTTCCTTTTTTTAAGATTCAAGTAAGACTTTGGAAATTGTTTCAGTGTATTCCACGAACTGTTCAACAGGGAATTTAAGTCGACACCTTAAAAATGTACACAAC